GAATTTATACTTTGGGTATGTTTCTAGAAGTTTTTATTATTACAAGATGGAATCTCCTCCTCATTTATTTCAGTTATTGCAAACAAACTATATCAGTCTTAAAGTATTACATAATGTGTATAATTCAGATATCTAAAGGAGCTCTCATAGCTCTCGTAGTTATTAAGTGCCGTCGAGTTGGTTCCGACCCATAACAACCCTGTATAGGGTTTCCAAAGAGCGACGGGCGAGCTTAAACCACAAGGTTTTGTAGTCTGGCGCATTAACCCACAGCGCCACACCAGTCATGTTTATTTGCTTTCTGGTTTTAAAAAAGCTCAACAAGGCTGCCGCCTGGGTGGAGCTGGAGGAGGGCGTTTGCCCGCGAGGCGCCTGTTAGATAAGGCGGCGTTGATGTCTGCAAGGCCGGCGAGTGCCGCGGCGGCAGCGGCGGAGTCTAGCGTGTGGCAGGGCGGCCTGGGATTCGGCCTTCCGCAGTGAAGCGGGCCGGTGTCACCTGCAGCAGCAGCAGCACAGACCGAGGCTTGGGCGCGTCTCTCTTCTCCGCCTGAGCCTGAGTCTGGGGAGGACAGGAGGCCCAGGGGACACGAGGGGGTCCGCTGCCCGAGAATGGGAATTTTCTTCACCAGGATATGGAGACTGCTCAATCACCAGGAGCACAAAGTTATCATTGTTGGGCTGGATAATTGCAGGGAAAACTATTCTTTACCAATTTTCTATGAGGTTGTACCTACAACAGGAAGTAATGTAGAAGAGATTGAGATCGTCGTTAACAATACCCGTTTCCTGCTGTGGCCAAGAATCTCTTCGTTCTTTCTGGAACACTTAATATACTGAGTTTGTAATAGTTGTGGATAGTACAGACAGAGAGAGGATATCTGTAACTGGAGAACTCTATAAAATGTTAGCACATGGGGACCTAAGGAAAACTGGACTCTGATTTTTGCTAATAAACAAGATGTTAAAGAATGTGTGACTGTAGCAAAAATCTCCCTGTTTTTGACACTCATTTCTCCTAAAGATCATCAGTGGCATATCCAGGCATGTTGTGCTCTTACTGGTAAAGGACTATGCCAAGGACTTAAATGGATGATGTCACCATTAATCTCAGATCATCTCTACTGACCTCTTAGAGACATTATATAAATGAAGTGCTGGACTTTATCTGAAAGCTGCAAAGATGAATGGTTCATATATATTTATAATAAACTGATTTAAACTTTTTCTATAAGAAAAAAAATTAAGATCACTTATTTGAAAACTCAAGTGAAATCTCATCTTCCAATCTACTTTTTCATTAGTTCCTTCCAAAGTAAGGTCTCAACGCTGTGATTGACTTTTCCTCATAATGAATCCTCTCAGGACATTGTAGAGCCTGTGGTAAGTAAAAAGAAAGAGGAAGACATTTTCATCTTTGAGAACTGTATTATCAGTATAACCCTTCTTTTTTAATGTTCCTCTTCTTGTTCCATTAAAGTCAAAGTACAAATCAGCAAGTCAGTTTCCATATGTTAAAATGCTATGTTAACCGTTGAAAAGTTCAAAATAAAACAAAACATAAAAACAAGAACTAAACTAAATATTTTATATTTTGGATTTCGGACCTCCTTCATCTCTATTTTTGGGACATCTGCTGTTCTTTTATATTGAGAGGGCTTCTTATGTGTGTGAATATATATGTATTTGTTGTTGTTATTAAGTGCCATAGAGTCAGTTCCAACCCATAGCTACCCTGTACAGGGTTTCCAAGGAGTGACTGGTGAGCTAAAACTGCCGACCTTGCAGTTCAAACCGACTTTGCAGTCCAGCACATTAACCCACAGCCCCACACTAGGACTATATGTATACACACAAACATATATATATATATATATGTTGTCAGGTGCCATCGAGTTGCTGCCGACTCATAGAAACCTATGCACAACAGAATGAAACACTGCCTGATCCTGGGCCAACATCACAATTGTTGCCACACTTGAGCCCATTGATGCTGCCACTTTGCCAATCCATCTCGCTGGGGGTCTTCCTCTTTTTCTCTGACCCTCCACCTTACCAAACATGATATCCTTCTCCAGTGACTGATCTATACAAATAGATATTTTGTGAAGCAGTGATTTTCATGGATGATTCTGCTGTCTAAAATCACTTCTCAGGGTATTAATCTATTATGCTTTCTAAAACATTACACCATATTTTAGAATACAATAATGTTGTAATTGCTTGCCAAATATTTTCTACTAGGCTTAGAAACAAAATTATTGCATGTATTACATCGGGAAGTTTTTAGCAAAAAATTCATCAAAAAGCAGTTGATTTTTTTAGGCAATGGTGGTGGTGTGCCGTGGAGTCAGTTCCAACCCATAGTGACCCAGTACAGGGTTTCCGAGGCTGTAAATCTTTACGGAAGCAGAAATCCTCATCTTTGTCCCGCAGAACAGCTGGCAGTTTCAAACTGCTGACCTTGAGATTAGCAGACCTATTCATAACCACTACGCTACCAGAGCTCCTTTTGAGTCTCTAGTTGCTGCTACACAATTATACAATAGAGTTACAATACATCAGCTTTAAAGTATCATGCAGAGAAACTTCCCAGTATGTGTTTGTTAAATATTGTATGTCTAATAAATTAATACTGGTGCAGTGCCGTAGGATAAGCAAGCACTGAACTGCGAACTGTAAGGTGGGCAGTTAAAACCCACCAGTCACTCCTTGGAAATGCTACACCAGGTTGCTATGAATTAGAACCAACTCAATGGCACTTAGCCACAATAACAACAATGAATTAGAAGCTACCTATTTTTCTGTGTTCATTAATTAGGACTTAATTTGATCGAGCAGTGTTCCGTTCTGCTGTGCATAGGATTGCTATGAGTTGGTACTGACTCAATGGCACCTAACAACAACAACAACAATTTGATTTTACGTGGCCATAATTGCCAGGATTCTAAGCTGTGAAGCTAAACTTTCTCTCACTGCCGGCCCTTAGAGTTATTCTGCAGATTCCTTAGAACGGAAGTTTCAGCTTTGCTGTTTCCTGGTTTGGGAATGAGGGTTAGAGACACCTGTACCCAATGGTGTAGTAGTTACAAGCAAGTGGCGAAGTGCCTACTGGTGAAAATTCTGGTTTTATTGCTTAAAAGACAGGACCAGCTGATCCAGAATGAGGACAAAGACTTCACCAGACTCACACCTAGTGTTTCACGTTCTTAGTCACATGTTTCTTGGGTTACACAGATGTTACGTCTAGGGAATAGATAGATACTTTTGTAGTATGTTGGAATCCCTGGGTGGTGCAAATGGTTAATGCATTTGACTGTTAACTGCAGGGTTGGGGGTTCAAGTCTACCCGTAGGTACTTACCCTCAGAAAAAAAAGGCCTGATAATCTACTTTTGGAAACATCAGCCATTGAAAGCTCCATAAAACAGAATTGTCCTCTGACACACATGGGATTGCCATGAGGTAGAATTGACTCAATGGCAACTTAAAAAATACATATATATGAATACTTTGTTAAAATGAGCTAGACTGTCCAGATTCAGCCAGTAGCTGATGAATACTCAAGAGCAGTGTTTTTCAGCTTAGAAAAATGTTGCCTTTTGATTGGCATAAAAAATTGCTTGCCTTCTTTTAATGCAACTCAAATAATCAAAATTGTTTTAAATATTTTGACTAAAAACATGTCAAGGCAATGGTAGCTGCAGAAAGTTTGTTCAAACTGCATATTTCTCTGTCAGCTTTTTCATTCTCTTTCAGGAGAAAATCACTGCTTTGGGGTGATAGTCTTTTTTGATGCTTAGTCATCTGTCATGATCCTGACTCTAGACTGCAAGGTCTGTTTGAACCGCAAGGTCAGCGGTTCAAACTCACCAGCTGCTCCTCGGAAATCCTATACAGGGTTTTTATGAGTCAGAACCGACTCGATGGCACTTAGCAACAACAACTTTACTGTTCTACTTTTTATAAACTTTGCAGAATTAAAAATCTGAAAAAGAATAGTTAGGATAGAAAATTGCTGGTTTTAAATAAATTCAACAACAAAATATCTATCAATGTTATTTTATTGCATTATAAATAAAGAGCAGGTAAAACATTTTGTGCTTGTTTTATTAAACTTTATTAATAAGTGATGCACAGCTTACAATTTTGAACAGCAATATAAAAATACAGTACAGAGGATAAATAAATAATATATTTTCATTTCTAATCAGATTTTAAAACCCTTGACATTAGTTATAATTTTCACTGGAATGGGAGACACAATGTCCACATGCTAATGTTCTGTAAACCCACAAAATCATATTAAATGAGAGTCAATAAGTAATTAAAGAAACCAAATCAATTCAACTTACAGTAATAGGAAAACTAATCAACATCATTTTTTTAACAGTGTTTAAATCTGTATTGAGCACTTTAAATAAATAATAGTTAGACACTTACTTCCAAGTTATGAAGGGCATATAGAAAACTTCTTCACAATCACAGAAAAGCTTGAAAAGGCTCACAAGTACAGCACCTTGTGTTTCCAATTCATTTTAACACAGTATTTTGTTTTCTTCATTAGAGCTTTTAAAAGGACATGTATTTTTATATATTTGAAAAAATCTTGTTGAGAGGGGTCATATAAGCCTTAGAGTAATGCACCATCAGAAATATATTAGGGTATACAGTGTCTCTTAAATTTGAATATTCAAGTACTTAAGTTTTACAAAGTCATATGATACCTCCTGATGCTTTCTCAGAAGTTCTCTTGTTAGCAATGGACCTATTTTAAAAAGGAATGCTGAGTTTCTAAATTCAGTTTAACATAGTTAAGGTTGCATATCTATTTTTTTGTGAAAGGTTTTTTTTTTTCTTTCTTCTTTTTCTTAACTTAGTAAGATTTTTATGGTGACATTCCTAAACATGAAGAAATTCACATAGGAATGCCATCTGTAAATTCAAGAAGGTCTTCACATATCATTAACCAGTGCTACTCATTCCCCTCCCTCCCCCCCAGGAGGCACATTTGTTGGTCTGATAGCTCAAATCTGTATTTTGGGACACTAAACAAAAGAAGTCACATTTTTTTCAGCCTACCTCTGTATGCATTTTGTAGGGTAGGGTGGGACTGGGAAATGCCTTTTCAAGCAGAAGATTTAGATCAGCTCAGTAGGAATGCTCACATTGGAGTCACTAGGAATCCTGAGAAGGAGGAGTGGACATACTCAGAGGAGTACAGGCCATTGGACTCGGCATTGGGCAACTGGAGCCACACCTGGTCATTTTCTGTGAGCTCGAGGATCGCGCTGCCCGAAGCCTGATCCAGGTAGCCTTTGGTATATTCATCATAGGTGTACATTACAGGGGCACCATTCTTATAGAGGCCTACCCAAACATGAGTCCCTTTCACATGCACATGGTAGGAGAAATAATATATTCCTGGTAGGCTACAAGTAAAGATGCCTGTTCTTGGATCATAATGATGTTGCCTGTTATACAAAATCTTATCAAATGGGATAGGGGTGCCTATTGCCGGGTAAGCTTTGGAGAGGATAACAGTAAAAGCAGACACGGGCATTCCTGTAACACCCTGATTGGCACTAGCAAGAGGTATTCCAGAAAGACTGGGCCTTTGGCCTGCCTTTATGAAGTCCTCAGGCATGGCTCCTTTGCCTGGGGGACCTGGAGGCCCAGGGGGTCCTGGAAGGCCAGGCTTTCCATCATGGCCTCTTGGGCCTGTAGGTCCTGGTAGCCCCGTTGGTCCACTGAGGCCCTTAGTTGCTATGCCAGCTGGACCAGGAGGGCCTGGATTTCCTGGATCCCCTTTAGATCCTGGGAGACCTGGAATGCCTGGTGGACCAATGGGACCTTTAGTTCCTGGTATTCCAGGGGCACCTCTGGAACCAGGCTCACCATTATAACCAGGCATTCCCTTAGCTCCTGCTGGGCCCACAGGACCTGGTAGACCCGGCGACCCTCCAATACCAGGGTCCCCTTTTGGGCCTGGTAAGCCTGGGCTACCCTTAGAGCCACTGAGACCTGGCTCTCCTACATATCCTGGTTTCCCATCTAAACCAGGGGAGCCCCTTTCTCCCTTAGCCCCAGGTTGTCCAGCAGGCCCTACTGGCCCTATCTCACCTTTAGAGCCTGGGATACCATGGTCGCCTGGGATTCCTTTTGGCCCTTGGGGTCCCAGGTTTCCAGGGGGTCCAGTCAGTCCTGTTTCTCCAGGGTGACCTGTTGGGCCTTGTTCCCCTTTGGCACCTAGACCTCCTGGAAGGCCGGTGGGTCCTCTTTTCCCTTTCAGGCCTGGCAAGCCTGGTTTCCCAAAGCCAGGAGCCCCTGGGGGCCCCGCTATTCCAGGAGCGCCAGGGTGACCTTTGGCTCCTGGAATTCCTGGCTGACCTGGGGCTCCAGTGCGTCCTGGCTTTCCAATGCCTACTGGGCCTCGTTCCCCAGGAGGACCCTGTGGACCTGGTGGGCCAGCGAGTCCCCGTTCCCCTGGAAATCCCCGAACACCTTTGATGCCTGGTTGTCCTGGAAACCCGTTTTCACCTCTTTTTCCTACTCCGGGAGGACCAGGTGGTCCCATGGGCCCCTGAGCCCCTGGAAGGCCCCTCTCCCCTGGGCGGCCAGGAGAACCATGTCCCGCTTCCCCTTTCTGTCCATTCACTCCAGGGACTCCTGGTGCACCTTTTTCTCCAGGAAAACCTCTGGGTCCGGGGGCTCCTGTAGGTCCCTGTTGTCCAGGTTTTCCTGACACAGAAATTCCAGCTGGGCCAGGGATACCAGGTGGTCCTGGTGGACCTCGGGGTCCTGGTAGACCAGCTGGTCCAATGTCTCCTTTGGGCCCATATGGTCCTCTTTCTCCTGGTTTTCCTTGGAGTCCTGGAATACCAGGCTTCCCAGTGGCTGATGGTCCCGGTGGTCCTGGCAGTCCTGGCTCTCCTTGGGGTCCAGGACTTCCATAGCCTGATTTTCCTGGTGGCCCAGGAGGACCTGGGTGCCCTCGAGGGCCTGTAGGTCCTACAGGTCCAGGAACACCTTGCTCTCCTCTTACTGGTATGCCTAAAAGACAAGCCAAAGCCCACCAAGAAGGGCTGTCAGTAACATTAAGGATAATCACTGCTTCTCTAATTGTGAATCCAGATAAGGCATTTCTGTGTCATTCAGTTCATTCTTCATCAGTCTTTAGTCTTCAATGGTTTGGGACAGACATATTTTAATTATTTGGTTTTTCTAAAACCTTACTAGAAAATAGTTTCTCAAGATTCTGGCTACCATAATATGAAGGAGCTGTAAAAAGAAAATTGGTGGAAAAACTCCAATATCTTTTAATTTCTTTCATTTATGAACTTTTTTGAAATCCCATCATACTTTCATTACACCCTAATGAGCCATATAAATATGCTGGGCTTGAAGAATTTGTCTAGAATAAGAATGCATTGAAAAAAAGAAAAAAAAGAAAAAAAAGTGCATTGAAGACAGGTTTGTTTTGGGAAAAATCACCTACTTAGAAAGTGGGGGAGAAAAAAAGGCAGTTGACAAAGGAGAAATAAAAAGACAAATGCAGAATATAAATGGGAAAATGTTGAAGAATTATAACAATTTTCTCATGAAAATTATAAATCAAAATGAGAAATAATTTAAATTTACATCTTCCATAACCATGGTGAACATAATTTAGGTTGATCTCCATTTTTATTGACATTTATGGCACTCAATGGTTGTTACTGGAGTCCTGGTGTGGCGCTGTGGGTTAATGCACCAGACTGCAAAGCTGTTTGAACTTCAAGGTCGGCAGTTCAAGCTCACCAGCTTCTCCTTGGAAACCCTATACAGGGTCGCTATGGGTGGGAACTGACTCGACGGCACTTCATAACAACAACAACAACAACAACAACAACAACAATGGTTGTTACTGTTGTTAGCGATTCAGTTCAGCCCCACCTCACCGGGATGCCGTGTTCAATAGTATTGGACCGTTGTTTTCCATAATATTTTATTTGGCTGATTTTTGAAAGTAGATGCCCATGTTTTTTTCCCTAGTCCATCTGGCTGTGAAAGCGCCACTTAGATCTGTTCAGCATCACAACACATAAGCCTCCACTAGCGGACACATGCATAACATAGTAACTGCATATGAGGCCACATTGGCTAGGAATGAAACCTGCTTTCCCACAGGGGAGGAGAGAATTCTCCCACGGAACCATCACTGTACTCTCCAGTACTGACTTAAGATTGAAATAGTTTTACAGTGAAAGATGCTACAGAGTCAAGTGTGAACAAAGCTCAGAACTGTTCCTGTAGGAGCTTCAGCCACAAAGAGAGCTGTGATCAGTACCCTGGGAGGTTTCCAAGAGCTCTTTGGGCCTTTCAAAGGTGGAATGTCACAGGGCACTGCAGACATTAGGCCCTAGAATTAGGGAAATATTACCATTTCAAAGTACCTTTTGACAGTAATCATCTATATAAAATGCTCTGTTTTACAGAACAATTACTAAATCACTAATAAAGATGGTCATAAAATTACATCATTTAAAATACCTATTTGATAGAATTCGTATTAAACTAATTTCAGTTTAGTAAGTTTTCAAAAGCATTGTTAGAATGCCTGTTTATACTATTTAGATATTTGTATTGTCAGGAAACGTCTCGTGGTAATGATAGATTTAGTAAGTGTCACTGTAGTTGAATTTCTTGGTCAAAACCTGACAAGGATTCATGGCTATGCCGTTTGAGCCACATTAAAAATATGATTAATATACTCATGCTCTAGTCAACTAAATCTTCGATGGCTTTAAAAATCAAAATAAAGACAAAATGGGCATTCATGTTTAATGAATTGAAAATTGCCTTTGAAAGCTTATTTTTATGGGTATAGTTCCCTTTAGCTATTAGTTGTTAGTATAGGATTTAATTAAAAAAAAAAAAAAAAAAAGCAGAACTTAGTGTTGATTGACTGGCATTTAAGAAGAAGTTAGCTAAAAGTAGTTACTAATTTTTTTTTTGGGGTAGAGATGATCCTGAGATTTGAAAAACATTTGTTGACAAATGAAATATAAAATACAGAGCAAAACCATTAAAATGGATATGATGAAACAGAAAAATATTCATTTTAGACTTAGGTATCTTTATCTTAAGGAGTCTTGGTGGCACTGTAGGGTAAGCACTGGACTGCTAACCTCATGGTCGGTAGTTCAAACTCACGAATCACTTCTCAGGAGAAAGATGAGGTCTTCTGCTCTGGTAAAGATTTATAGCCTCAAGAACCCCTATACAGGGCTGCATTTTCTAAGTCGGAATTGACTCAGTGGAAGTGGATCTGGTTTTAATTTTGGTTCTTTTATCATTATATTTGAACTAATTATAGTTATATTGTAATTTACAAATATTTGATTGTGTGGTATTTATTTACCCATGGATTTTCAGAACATGACATTAGCAAAAAGACTATGAGAAAATTAATTTATGGAATGGTTTCAGTACTTTAACAGATATCTTGTTGATTGACTTCAGTGAACATATATGATCACTTCATTGATATGTAATACAAATACATTGATATGTTACAAATAGAATAGATGAATAACTAAAGGATTTCTTCATGGCTTGGAATAAAATAGCACATTTTATAAAATGAGAACTATGTTAGAGAAGTGTTGCATCAGAGTCTTATTTTTAAAGGATCATGTTCATACTAAAAATAACTGTCTTATTCTGATTAGAAATCTGTTGAAATGTTAAAGTAGAAAGGAAAATCAAGTTTTATTGAAAACAGCTGCATTGAGCACCACTAAGGCTAAGGGTGGTCCCTCTAGCATGGAATGTTGCTCTGTTGTGTCCTCAGCCTCTTAATGCAAGAAGGAATCTGAATTCTGTTGAATCCTTGGAGTCTGGCTCCTGTTCATAGTTTGCCATCTGAAATACCCTATCTATTCTAGATAGGGTGACAACATCTTCAGGGAAAGACACAAACTCGGTAGAGAAGTTTCCTAAATGCCGATGAACTGAAACAGTGGTTGGTTGTGTCAAGATGTGGCACCAGTTACAGAATCCTCTCCAGTACAATTTAGTGTGTTGGGACTGAACTCTTTTTGTTGAATTAATGTGCCTGAGAACTACTTAGGGACCTCTTTGTATTTCCACCATCAACTTAATGGCTTACTTGTATAAACTGGCCCTTTGTCTTTATTAGTACCTGCTTTTGGATGATAATGTATTTGAGTTTCCAACTTGCATTCTCAACAAGAGATTAAGGTGGAATTAATAGTTAAAATGTAGCTTCTATTCATGAAAGGCCCTCTAAGGTGCAGCTTTAACTTCCCATGAAGGAAAGGAAGAAGAATGGTAAGAATTGAAGAGGCTTGAAATCAGTTAGTCCAGTGGACTGAAGGAACAATTAAACATCAGTCTCCATGGTTCTTCAACCCGCTACCACTACCAACTGTTCTGAAAGGCATCACGTTAGAGGGTTCTGGATAGAGTGGGAGAAAATGTGGAACAGAACTCAGAATTATTTAAAAAAAGAAAAAAATCCCATATATTTAGTAGTCCAAAGAGACTGGAGGAAATTGTGAATATGGCCCTCAACTACCCTTCAAGTCTGGAAAGGAACTCACTCATAAGGCCCAATTTTCAGCAAAGCAGTAGATAGGAATATGGGGGATAACAATACTAGTAGGGTATACTCACCATGGAATGCTCAATCATTCAAAATCAAAAGGGCAATATTTTCCTAAGAACCAATTTGAGAAAGAATGGGAAAGTGGGTGGAATAGAAAAAGGAACCACAGGGAAGAAAGAAGCAGGGTAACTGTTGTTGCATGGAGGAGACTGTAATCATTGAGATGAAAAAGAGTATATGATTTGTTGAATATAAAGTTGATGATCTTGTCTGTAAACCTGCACTCAATTCCCATAAAAATTAAAATAAAAAAAAATAGCTTCCAAACCTTACCATCTGTTAAAAAAGATACACATTTTCATGTAATCTGCAAAAATAGCCAAGATGAAGTAGAGAGATAGAAACACTTTTAAGCTTCTAACAGTGATACACTGTATTTTTAATTGTGACTATTTACTGTGATCTTGGTAAGCTATAAAAGTCTAAATTTGTGATTATAGATGGCACTGAAGGAGCCCTCCTGGTTTAGTAGTTAAATCACTCAGCTACAAATTTAAAGGTCTGAAGTGCCAATCATCCAGTTTCTTCATGAGAGAAAGATGTGGCAGTCCACTTCCGTAACTATTTATAGCCTTGGAAGTTCTACTGTCCTTTTGGGTCACTGTGAGTTGGATTTGGAGAGTATTAAATCCAGTGTTTGTTGGGCATTTCAAATTGATTTTATTGTGTTAAGTACCTAACTTCTTTCACTCTCTCCCTTTTTAAAGTATTTTGAGACATACAAAAATATGTGTTGTGCTGTTCATTTATTTTCAAATATTAAGCTACCTCTTGTAAAATATTTAAAAATTTGATCTTTCTTCTTGAAAAGGCAACCCTATGAGTTTAATTTGCTCAACATGATTTATCCCAATCATTTATTTATGAAAAATAGTCTCAGCTTTATTTAGATGGTACAATGTATAATAACTATCATGAAAAAGGAATCCTGGTTTGGCACTTATGATAAGCATTGGACTGCTTACTACAAGGTCAGTGGTTCAAATCCACCACCTGCTCCTTGGAGCCCCTATATAGGGTCACTGTAAGTGAGCACCAACTCAACAACAACAACACAATGGAAAAAACAAAAAAACAGTATGGAAAGGAAATTTGAATTCTACAATAAGTTTAGATTCAGCTCATTTTAGTAGCTGCTTTACAGGCAGCTTGTGACAGATGTTATTAAAGAGAATTGGTAAATATGAGACCAAATGATTGCTCTTCTTGGAGATTTTGTTAGACTCTTTCATACATTATCTCAGTACTCGTCACAGTAACTGACAATGCTGGACAGATGAGGAGTAGATTTAAGAAGAAAATAAAAGCTTATGCATAGCTGGATTACTCCTGGTATAGCGCTGTAGGATCAGCACTGGACTGTGAGTCACAAGGCTGACAGTTCAAACCCACCAGCTGCTCCTCAGAAACCCCATACAGGGTCACTATGACTCAACAGCACTAAACAAAACAACATTACCAAAAGTAGTACTAAAATACTAGAAATAAGAGTAGAAGAGGTAATAGTAGTAATTATTAACGTGGTGCCGTAGGACAAGCACTAGACTGCAAATAACAAGGTCAGCAGTTCAATCCCATCAGTTGCTCCTCGGGAGAACTAACTTGGACTGCACACAAAAACAATAGCCCTTTAAGATACTGTTCCTTGTTATACAAATGAGGAAACCATGGCACAGAAGAATAAATAATCTATCCAACTGCATACTGTGAGTACTGGCAGTTAAGTCTTGCTTGTAACCACTAAACTATACAAAAATGTATAAATGATGATGAGAATGGCTACTTCATTTGCCACTTAAATTTACTTGGGTGAAGTATAAGGTTCTATCTGATAAAAACTTAAGTTTACTTAAATTTGTGTGTTAGTTGAATAGATTTCAAAAACAAATATATGTAAGTGTTTAGGCATATATACTTGCTATTCTATTTCTTGCAAGGTTGGTAGTTCAGGCTCACCAGCTGCTCCTTGGAAACCCTGTATAGGGTCGCTATGGATTGGAATGGACTCGACGGCGCTTAACAACAACAACTCTATTTCTACATTTGATAATTCCTTTTAGTTAGAACATTTTAAGCTTGATTAGTTTTATTTTGATTAATATTTCTGGATTATGGGTAGATTATTGGTGAAAAGACATCATTTGAGAGGAGGAAATGCCCACACATGAAATTTCTTAATATTCTTTCGGTGTATCTTTCTACTATAACTTCTTTTGTAAGAGATGTTAATGTTCTTGAATAGACCTACTCTTTACACAAATCATTTATTGTAATAATATAGAAACATTAAAAATAATTTCAAACCAAACAGTTAAAAGCATTTTGTTAAAAAGATCATTAAGATTGCAGAAAGCAACAACCAACTGATTAATAGAGCAAAATATGCAATTCAGTTTACCTTTACTTTTTATGGCATAAGGGATGAAGAACTGTGTCTTGGTGTTATGTAGTGGGCCTTTTATGCCTGTGGGTGTTTGGTATCGCTCAGCGTAAAACCCTCCATGAACCAAGTTCAAGGACATTAGCAGCAAAAAGCCTAGTTGTGGCAGCATATTCTCAGGTGGACTCTACAAAACAGAAAGGAATAATTTCATAGCGCTTTGTTATTGACCTGTTCCCTTATTCTAATGTTGCACAAACAAATTCCTTACATGAGCACACTTGTCTATTTTTTTTCATATTTCAAACCCACCAGGTGCTCCTCAGAAACCTTATACAAGATTGTTATGAGTTGGAACCAACTCAGTGGCACTTAACAACAATATATTTTGAATATATTCCATAAATTAATGAGAGCTATAATTTTATGGTTATGTGAATACATGTCTTAGTTATTGTAGGAGAGCAATTTTAAATACTGTTCAGGATCTCTGATATTAACTGAAATATCCAAAAGTTTCAAAGTACACCGAAATTCAGGTCAAGGCATGTTTTAACAAATAAGTTTATAATCCAACTGTTTTATATAAACTGATACTGATACAAAATAAACTCTCTGAGTGAATTGTATGGGAAGCCATATTTTTAAACCACAAAAAGAGAAATCGTATATTTGTTGAAACTTGTTGACAAACAAGATAGCACATGAGTAGTGAGCGCTAAGCCATAGTCTTACCTGGGTGCTTGCAATTCCTAGAGCTGGTCTCTGGGCAGCTCTGTGAGACCTCCTCTGCCCAGGTGAGCAGTGTAGAAGATGCCCTCTACAGAGCTGCCCTGCAGTATTTATGCTGTTTTTTCTCTGACTACATGAGTTTAAGCTCCTCCCCTCAGAGCTGGTAAACACTAATTATGGTGGAAAGTTCTACTGAGCAGCATACAAGATCAGGCTGGGCTCTTCTTTTCCTAATTTTCTTATTGAAAAATAAACTGTTTATTTTGAGTATATGTTAACAGTTTTAATTTTGCACCATCTTTTCTTGTGATTTTATTTTAGAATTATTACTCACATGTTTAGGTTGGTTTATGATGGGACAGTAATAATTCCTTTTCAGTTTTGAAAAACATATACTTGTGTTATTAAGCTGAAAATATTTGGTAGTGTATGTAGATACTGTTGTTCTTAAGCACCATCTAGTTGGTTCCAACTCATAGCAACCCTGTATAAGGTTTCTGAGAGGAGTAGCTGGTGAGTTTAACCTCCAATCATGTAAATTCCTTAGTTATTATATAGAGCGCATTAACCCACAGTGCCACACCAGGACTCCGCATTAGGGGATTTTTAATATCAGTGTGGCACTGTGGGTTAATGTGCTGAACTGCAAAGTCAGCTTGAGCCACAAGGTTGGTGGTTCAAGTTCACCAGCTGCTCCTTGGAAACCCTATACAGGGTCGCAATGAGTCAGAATTGACTCAACAGCACTTAACAACAACATTAACAATATTAGTGTCAGGATCCTAAAGAATCTAATAATGACAGGAAGTTCAGTGCCTCAAATTTTATCTTATTAAAATTTCATCCCTCTGGATTTAAATCAGATAAGCTACACAGGTAAAACAGGTGGGCAGGTGAATTTGTAGTACCGCTGCAGAATTAAAGTAATGTTATTCAAGATTTATCAGCAGCTAAAATAATTGAATGACCTATAGCAAAATTTGTTAAGTGCCGTTCAGTCGATTCCAACCCATAGTGACCCTGTGTAGGGTTTCCAAGGAACAGCTGGTGAGCTTGAACCATCGACCTTGCAGTTCAAACGACTTTGTAGTCTGACACACTAGGACACAGCGCCACACCAAGAGGTTTGTTATTATTATTATTATTATTGCTTTCTCCCTCTTCTGTAAGGAGCTCTGGTAGCGTAGTGGTTACGAATCGGGCTGCGAACCTTAAGGTCAGCGGTTCGAAACTACCAGCCGCTCCGCGGGAGAAAGATGAGGCTTTCTACTCCCGTAAAGATTTACACCCTTGGAAACCCTGTACAGGGTCGCTATGGGTCGGACCCGACTCGATGGCACTCAACAACAACAACAACAACCCTCTTCTGTGGTGAGCAGCCCAACTCATAACCCACTAAACTACCAGGGCACCTTACTACATCTGTTGTTGTTGTTAAGTTTGTCAAGTCAGTTTCGACCCATAGCTACCCTGTATAGGGTTTCCTAGGAGCAGCTGGTGAGCTTGAACCACAGACCTTGAAGTTCAAACGGTTTTGCAGTCTGACGCATTAACCCACAGCGCCACACCAGGACTCCTACTACATCTGTAAGAGACCACAAATGACAAGTGAGAGAAAATGGCTGCCTTCCATTTTTGTTTATGGTCCATTTGGGCAAGATTTTGAAAAAGTAGGTGTGATAGGATTAGGATGTTCTTGAATGCTGAGCTGAAGAACTTGTTTTGAAAGAAGTTATTAGAACTCCGTATTTCTGTGTATATATGGATATGCGTGCATGCACTTTTTTTTTTATAATAAAGACTAGTGGTGGTGGTGGTTAGGTACCATGTAGTCAGTTCTGACTCCTAGCCACTCTGTATATGGTTTCCATGGTTATAAATCTTTATGAGAGCAGAAAGCCTCATTTTTTTTCCCTTGGAAGAGCTGGTAGTTTTGAACTGCTGACTGTGAGATTAGCAGCCCAACTCATAACCACTGTAATACCAGAGCATTGTAAATCATTCATGTGAAAGTTCAGAAGAAGAATTCCCAAATTTTAATACCTAAAATATTATGCGCTAGTGTAGACCATTTGTTAACCTATAGCTACTCGAAGCATTTTCTCATATTTTTCACCTTAATGTCTCCAGATGTCTCTTTATCATTGACCTGATGAAAAGGTTGAATTAGGTAGTTGTTAAACTCCTCCCAGCTTTAAAATTAGAATGAAATTATTCTTGTGTTTGAGGTATTCTGTTGTCTCCCGTGGTCATACTATGGACTTGGCTTAGCTCTATTTAGTACTTGATACATTTCAATATAACTTCATCCTTTTGCAGGTATATTTAAAAATGCTTACAGACCAAAGAGGGAGGGGGGGAATCCATACCAGGTGGTTATATGCCTTCTTTTTTGGATATGTAAATATTGTGGGTATTTGTCATTCTTTATTTCCTATTAGTTTTTGAAAATGTGGTGTCTTTATTGAATAACCCTTGGTTGGACGTTCAGCCCGATTTGCAAATAGTCTACTTATTTCAGCACAAGGACTTTGACTGCTGTTTGCTTTGTTAGTCATATAAGAAGCACTGTCTTGTCCAAAACAGATTGTAGAATCAGAATATTTACTAGCCACACCTTACCCAATTGTGTATTTAAAGCTATTTTTATTTAGAGTGTTTACTTACAGCTGTTTGAAGTGACTAGTCTGTGGCTTTAGGATGGAAACCCATTCCACTTAAAACAGAGCTATACTCTTTAAATCCCGTAACCTGAGTGTTTTTTTATTTATATCAAGTATGAATGATGTTTCCTGCGTATTTAACAATTAGCTGATATTGAGTTTCCCATTCATTTTCACTTTTTCTCTGGGTCATCATTAACTCCCAGATAAGTCTTGAGTATCTCTACCATGTCAAGCACTAAGATTATTGCTGGGTGAATAATGCATAAACACCTTAAATGTATAAACGCCTTAAAGTATTTATACAGTGACTTCACCTTTTTTCCTACTCCAGCAGTCCTGAGGAACATGACACACGCTTCTCAATATTTGGGGCTTCAGTAAGATAGTGGTGGTTCAAAGACTATACTATGAAAAAGTTCCACAGGTGATCATGATGGATTCCTAATTGATAGCATAATACCAATGGTCTATTACCAAATTGTTAATATTAATAATATAATTCTTATGATTTCATTTTTTAATGAGTTAATGTGATGGACTACAAAATCGGTTTGAACTGCAAGGTCAGCACTTGCTATGGGTCAGAACCGACTCAACGGCACTTAACAACATAGAAAATTTTCAGTTTATATGGAAGTGGAAGAGTTACAATAAATACGTCTGTAGCCATCATTCAGCTTAAACTATTCTCATTTTATTGCCATTCAACTTCCCTTCCATCACCACTCCCCAATATTTGAAGCAAATCTAATATATGGTACTGATTTGTCTGTAAATATTTCAGTATGTATTTCTAGCAAATAAGAATTATTTTTTCTTTCAAACAATTTCTTTATCACACACACACACACAAACCCATTTCTAATATTATTAGATGTTTTAATTCATGTCCAAATTTTCCTAGTCATAGTGTGTGCATATATATACACACACATGTAAGAAAGGATTTAAGAAAGTTCATGGAAAAATGGAATGAACACAAAATAGAATTTTTCCTAGAACTTTTTTTTTTAAGTTTTTATTGTGAATTATGTGATAGTTTATATGGGACAACATTAGCTTTACATTCATCCTATCTTATTTCGTTTCATTGTAATGATTACAATTCCTTTCATGCATCATCAAACAGCCAAAGGGTACACCCTGCAAGCCTGGCCCCTGGCCATCAGCACACAGCCCCTCTCCCTCCCAGAGTCCAGAGTCCCCAGCCGCTCCATCTCTCCACGTCATCATCTCTGCCCCCATCTCTGGCATCGCTGCTTCTCTGGATAGGGTTCTGCACTCTACTCATCTCTCTTGATGACCCCAGGTTCCTCCGCTCCTGGACTGAAAGATTAGCCACTCCACTTCTTTTATTACAAAACGTCTGCCTTACATTTGCAACAGTCACAATCAGTCATGATAGCAATTATTCACTATTGAACCTCAAGAGTCTAATCCCCATCTCCTTTCACCAGCCCCATCCAGACAGGTTGGAAGCAACTCAGTGGAGAGTCTACCTTTCCCCACATCCTCTGGAACTAGGCTCCCTCTTGACAGCTTGTAAGCCAGTCACTCTGTGCCTGTGTAGGCCCCCCATTTTGGGTAGCCAGTGTCTAAGTTGCCCATCCCTATCAACCCTGTGTCTCAAGGGGGTGAGAGTGATCCTCGCTATAAAGATTCCTTCCCTATTTTGAGCTAATACATTCACAAGCACAGGTCAAGTTCATCAAATTGTAGCAGATTACTCTTTTTTCTTCTTTCTTCCTCTAGTTGAGTTCTAGTCATCCAGCCATTGAGGCCA